TCCTGGTCGAGTGAGTGCGAGATCCCCATAGTGCCGCACTTTGTCTAACGTTGTGCTCCACACGTGCTGAGGCGTGCATGCTAACCCAACTGCAGGGCCACCACGGCGAGGCACAGCACTACCGCCAAGTGCCACGCCGAATTCGTATATCGTGACTGTCGACCACCGCACGCACTTTGTTGTCTTCTTCATATGCATTGACTGTGTGTGTGTGATTGTGTATAAGTGTAGGATCAAGTGCGTCGTTCGAAGCGTCTTTGACTCTATGTCGATGACCAAAAGCGATTAAAAATGGTCAAAAATGTCACCGTGTTTCCTCTCTTTCCCTCTTACTGCTCTGTTTCTCACTCTTTATAGAGCGACGGATATTAAACCGCGACAGCATACTCAGACGCAAAGGCCAGCGTCACTAAACGAAATCGTCGCCAACACACTCGTAACTGGCCAAAGACCTTAAATCGCTGTTCTGTCGCTACCCCCTTCCTCATCCCAAACTGTATTTAATTGGATAAAAAGATGCTTTTAGTGACATTAAAAATAGGCACAGAAAGATGAAGCGCCGGATGGATGGAAACAAGTGGGTGCTTACGAAAAAGCACACAGAGATAGGACGTGGCACGTGTTGTACAGTATAGATTGAATACCATCGTAAAAGTCGAGGACGTGTTGCTATAAAAGAGATTTCTGGACTACAGAAGACAAGACGTTACGAAGCGAATATTCTTATCAAGTGCCAAGGGACTAAACATGTGGTACAGGTGCGTGTGCATACGGCATTATAATACCATAAGCTGGGTCTGACTTGATTTGCTGTCGTATGGACGTCACAATTAGTAGCTTCTAGACGTTGACAAGCGTGATGATAAACTTTACTTGGTACTTGAGTATATGAATCGTGATCTTGAGGTATTAATTGGAGCTGAGAGAGTGTCCCGATGTTTGACATCAATTGCATACTTGGGTATATTACATTGCGATCTCAAGCGAAATAACTTGTTACTATCAATGACACAAAGTTGTGCCAAGATTACTGATTTTGGTATGGTTACGTTCATAACGACACATGACGAGAATGGAAAGATTGATGAAGAAAAGATTGCAAATGATGATAAGAAGCAAAAGAGATCAGTACATGTTGTGACAAGAGCGTATCGTGCGCCTGAGATTTTCTGAAGATGAATATGGTTTCGAAGTTGACATGTTGTCTGTTGGGTGTATCTTTGCTGAAATGTTACTTCGACGACCACTAGCGGACGAATCCTCAGACATCGATCAATTGAGTAAAATATTTGCTTTCTCTTGCATCATGCCATTTTATCTGCGATTTCAAGATACAAATCCATTACCACTTGTGGAGCAGTTTTCAATGCTATCGGCTGCTGGTGTGGATTTGTTATCGTAGATGCCGGAATTAAATCCAAAGAAAGGATTTCTGCGAAAACGGCCCTACAACATCCATTTTTTCAAGAGGAGCCTAAATTCGCATCCTCAACTGATCTCGTTATGGTTGACAGTGTAGAACCTCATCTTGTTGATACTACCTACAACATCCATTTTTTCAAGAGGAGCCTAAACTCGCATCCTCAACTGATCTCGTTATGGTTGACAGTGTAGAACCTCATCTTGTTGATACTACCAATGCATTGGATACTAGTCGTGCTGTCACGATCAAAGGACGGCGACTAATGTAGAGAGAAACAAGCAAGAGATTGTATCACAGCATCAAATTTGATTGAATGTAAACTTTTCGTGCGTTTTTATCCTTTTTTGATCTTCGTCTCGTTAAAAATCAC